TTAGGTATGTGTCTCTATTGTTTCTTACAACAGCATCGATTAAAAATAATAAAATTTAAAAATAAATGGGTGGTACCAGAAAGGTTAAAATGAAAGACACAGACAATAGGAAAAAGTAAGGCTGTGAAGCAATTAGAATTCCTATACACTGCTGGTGGATGTAGAAAGTGATTTAACACTCTGGAATGCTGTTTATGTATACCTACTCCTAGGAATATACCAACAGACATGCATACATATATTAACCAAAACATGTACAGAAAGGTTCATGGCAGCACTGTAACAGCCAGCAATACCCATCAACAGAATGAATTATGTGCACACAGGATTTCTAGACAGAAATGAAAACTGCTTTATGCAACAATATAGATGAATCTCACAAACATGTTTAAGAAGCCAGACCCGAGAGAGAGAAATGTTGTGATTCCATAGTAAACTAATGAAGCAATCTATCCTATTACAGTCTAAAGGAGAAAGTGAATAGATTTAAAAATTCTCAACAAACTGGAGATAGAAGGGAACTTGAACTTGATAAGGACAGCTAACATCATATTTAATGGTGAAAGTTGAATGCTTTCCCTCTAAGTGCAGGTGAAAATAAGAATGTCTATACACCACTTCTTTACAACATTGTACTGAAAATTCTGACCAAAAATAACAGGAAATTTCTAAAATTTAGTAATTTAAAAAATTTTAAAACAGGATATAATAATTTATAAAATAATTTATACAATTTATAAATTTCAGAATATAATTCTGAAAAGGATTCACACAGATTGGAAAGAAAAAATTACAGATGACACAATCATGTATGAAGAAAGTCTATTAAGCTTATGTTAAAAAGCTAACAGCCCTTCATATCTGAGGGGTCTGTATCTACTGATTGAACCAACTGCTGATGGAAAATATTCAGAAAAGTAACAATACAATAAAAAAAAAAAAATGCCAATACAGTATAACAGCTGTTTACAAAGTACTTACATTGTACTGGGCATAAGTAATCTAGAGATGATTTGGAGGGACAGGATGTAAGTCATATGCAAATAGTATACCATTTTATATATGGGACTTAAGCATCCACAGATTTTTGTATTGAGGGAGTTGGCTACTGAAGGATGACTTAACTAATCAATGTAGCAAGGTCACAAAGTCAATATATAAAAGTGTGTTTCTATTTAAAATTATATTTCTATTTGAGTACATTGTATAGTGTTATAAAAATACAAGCTACTGGCCAGGCTCAGTGGCTTATACCTCTTAGCTCAGCATTTTAGAAGGGCTGTTTGAAGCCAGAAGTTCAGGACCAGCCTGGGCAACAAAGAGACCGCCTCTACAAAAATAAAAATTTTGTAAAAGTTTAGCTGGACATGGTGGTATGCCCTTATGGTTCTAGCTACTTGGGAGGCATAAGGATCGCGTGGAACCCAGGAGGTCAAAACTGCAGTGAGCTAAAATTGTGTCACTGCATGCCAGCCTGGGCAACAGAATGATACCTCATCTCTAAAAAGTAAAATTTTAAACATTTTTTTAAAAATGAGCTACCTAAAGATAATTTTGACAAAATGTGCAAAATAAAATACAAAGCTAATAAAGGAAAAGACCTAAGCCAATGCAAAGTGATACCATGTTCATGGATTGGAGTGGTTCAACTCTAAACTGATCTATAAACACCATTCCAGTGAAAATCTGAGCAAGGAAACTGAAAAAGTATTTCTAAGATCAAGAATAATCAAAATAGTTTTGAAAAGAACTAAGTCATGATTTACACTACCTGACTTTAAGACTTAGTATAAAGCAGCCAGGTACAGTGGCTTATGCTTGTAAACCCAGCATTTTGGGAAACTGAGGCAGGCAGACCACTTGAGGCCAGCAGTTTAAGACCAGCCTGACCAATGCAGCAAAATCCCATCTCTACTAAAAATACAAAAAAATTAGCCAGGCGTGGTGTTGCATGCCTGTAATCCCAGCTACTTGGAGGCTGAGGCATGAGAACCACTTGAACCCAGGCAGTGGAGATTGCTGTGAGCCAAAATGGAGCCACTGCACTCCAGCATGGGCAACAAAAAAAGACTATAAAGCTGCAGTAATCAAAGCATTGTGGTTACTGGCAAACAGACATAAAAATCAAACATCATACAAAGTCTAGAAATAGACTTGTGATATAAGTCAGATGATTTTAACAAACGTGCCAGATAATTCATTAAGAAAAGGATTTCTCAATAAATGATTCTGGAACAACTGGCTATTCGTTTAGGAAAAAATGCCATAGACAGAAACTTGAAATAAGTCCTAGACCTAAGCCTAAAATATAAAACCTTAAAATGTCTAGAAGAAAACAGGATAAAGATCTCTGAAACCCTGCAGTAGGCAGATTTCTTAGAACTCAAGAAGTATGAATCAAAGTGAAAAATAAGTAAGACTTCATCAAAATTTAAAACTTTTGCTCTATAAGAGACACCATTATCAAAATGATGAGGCAGGCTACAGACCAGGAGAAAATACGTGCAATACATTACCTTGCAAAAGACTTGTATCTAGAATTTATAAGGAACTCTCACAATGCAATACTATAATGCAATACAAAATGGGGAAAAGATTTGAAGGTATACATTACAAAAAAGATATATGAATGGATAAATAAGCTCAAAAAAAGATGTTCAACATCATTAGTCAAGAGGGAAATGCAAATTAAAAGCACAATGAGATACCACCACTTCATAGACACTAAAATGGCAAAATTGAAAAGACTAGCAGTATCAAGTGTTGGAGAAGATGTGAAGAAACTGGAAGTCTCAGTTGGGAACTTAAAATGGTTTGGGGCCGGGCACGGTAGCTCACGCCTGTAATCCCAGCACTTTGGGAAGCCGAGGCGGGTGGATCACGACATCAAGAGATCGAGACCATCCTGGTCAACACGGTGAAACCCCGTCTCTACTAAAAATACAAAAAATTAGCTGGGCATGGTGGCACGTGCCTGTAATCCCAGCTACTCAGGAGGCTGAGGCAGGAGAATTGCCTGAACCCAGGAGGGAGAGGTTGCGGTGAGCCGAGATCGCGCCATTGCACTCCAGCCTGAGTAACAAGAGTGAAACTCCGTCTCAAAAAAAAAAAAAAAAAAAAAAAAAAAGGTACACTTTGAGAAACATTTTGGTAGTCCTTTTAAACATTCACACAACCCAGTAAATTTCACTCCTACACATTTAACCAAAAGACATGAAAAATGTCCAGACAAAGATCTGTACATAAATGTTACAGCAGCTTCAGTCATAATAGCCACAATGTAGAAAAGAACTGAAAATCCATCGACAGGTTAATTGACAAACATATTACAGCATATCTATGCAATGAAACATTACTCAGCAATAAAAATGAATTACTGGTAATACAACAAGATAGATCTGGAAAGCTGAGAAAAAGAAAGCAGATACAAAAGAGTTGCACCCAGAAGGAAATGTCAGATTGCTGTCTCCTGGTAGATGAAACTAAAATCTGAGGCCTGTCTATGGTTTTTTTTTAACATGTAGAAAAAAGCACACTGAACATAACAGAGTGAATTTTCAGAAGCCTCTCAATAAATTACTACACTCTTTGCTGCCAGGTTTTCCTGAGATTCACTGGACAAACCAATTGCCATCTCTGCTTAAACTAACTTGACTTGAGCTGCTTTCAGCTGCAAACAAGAGTCCTGATAAACCAAAGTCAAAAAATTTGCAGCCACTGCTATACTCAGAAAATTTCCTAGCCTGAAATAAAAATAGCTAATTGACTTGTACTGAGTGCTTATTATATACAGGTACAGCTTTAAGCACCTACTATAGAAGAACTCATAATAATGGTAAGACGCTAATTTATGGCACAATTAGTTCCACAAATAATGTGGACAGCATATACAAGGTCAGTATCTAAGTCCATCAGCTAAGTTAATTATCGGAGAAGACTAATAGATATTTTATACTTAGTTATATGTAAATAGTAAGCTGCCATGTAAAAAAAATTCATTGCCTCCCTAGCAAAGTAAGGAATAGAGTTTCAAAACAACTATTAAGCTAGCAAAAGTAAATGAAGTTATAAATTACAATGATCACAAAACTGGAAAAACAGGTACAATTTAGATATATTGCTGGCAGCACTCTAAACTGGTTTTTTTCTAGAAAATAATACATCATCAAGAGGTCCCCAGTAAAATATAAAAAAATAGTAAAAAAAAAAAAAAAAAAAAAAAAACACATCTAACAAAATGTTACCAAACTGTTTTCACATTCCTAAAATATCCTCAAGTTGACTAATTCTTTGCAACACATAACCCATGTAAATTACCTTAAGTAACAGTAACAACAGAAAGACATGTGCAAAGATACCAGCATAATCCCATTTACAGTGTAAAGATTTACAAGCACATATATACCAACTAACAGAAAAGTCAAACACGACATAGCACAGAGCTACAATGGAGTAAAGCTATTCAAAGCAACACACTTTAGGCAAAGTCACCGCAGACTAAGCTAATAATCAGAAACATATAAGGAAGCTGTAGGCCAAAATTTAAAATATATATAATTTGGATTCACTGATTACAACTATGTATAATAAAGTATGTAGGTCTGTTAACGATTAGAAATATGGAATGATACAACTTTATAATTAAATTCTTATTTGTATAAGATTGTTTAAATTTATGGTGGACAAACATAAGAGATCTCAACAATCCATCTTTAAAAAAATACTATTTTATCTTTACATCCTAGCAACTAAATACACATTTCACAAGTTTAAGTAAAAATCCTTTGGCGTCAACTCCATAACTACTCTGGCCAATTTTATTATGAAATATACAATGTTCATTTGTTCACCCAAGGTCTAATTAAAGAAAAACCAAATTATTTAAAAGAAAGCGAATTCTGAATCTTTTTTACATTTAAGCAAACTTCTGAGAACTTTCTACATTTTTTATTCATTTAGCACAAAACATCCCCTGCAACTTAGCAAAGCATCACACATACCTGATGCAATGACTGGATCTTTCATAAGTTCTCTAGTTATTGGACATATAAATTCATCAGGAATTTCTGAAGAAAGGGATTTAACCCTGGTCCTGAGCTCTTCAATTTTCCTCAGCACTTTACTACGCAGTCCTAGAGATTCTGAAAAGAAATTATTGTTAGGGTTGGATACCTACTAGTAATCCTTATCCAAGTCATTCACAGAGTTGTTGGAGTTTTTGTTTTTGAGACAGGGTCTCACTCTTTTGCCCAGGCTGGAGTACAGTGGCATAACAATCGCCGCTCATTGCAGCCTCAACCTCCTGGGCTCAAGTGATCCTCCCACCTCAGTCTCCTGAGTAGATGGTACTACAGGCACACACCACCCCATGCCTAATCAATTTATGTATTTTCTGTAGAGATAAGGTCACCGTATTGTCCACTCTGGTCTTGAACTCCTGGGTTCAAATGATCCAACCACCTCGGCCTCTCAAAGTGCTGGGATTACAGGTGTGAGCCACCACACCCAGCCACAAATAGAGATTTTATCACTACCACCAGAAATCAATCTTCTGATATCCTGTTTTACCACAAGGAACTACTGTTTTTTTTTTTTATGAATTCATTAGCAAATCTCTGTTGTATAGAATACTGTAAGGTTAAAATATATCAGCAGCTAATAGCTAATTTAAAATAGATTCTGAAAGTTCAAGAATTTCAGGTTGCCAGATACTAATATACTCTATAAAATTAGAAAAGGCTATTATTGGTTCTTGATTCAACAAAAAATTTCCTAAAAATCATTTTTAAATGTTTTGACTTTTAAAATGCCATATTTTTAAACTTAATGAAATTGGGTATATTTGCTGATTCTTGTAAGAAACACAATTACAAAAAAAGCTCATCTGTATGCATGTTTCACTTGTTTGTATTCTTAATTTTTAAAAATTATCCTAATTTTCAGTTTTAGGTAGTCATAATTTATTTTATTTTATTTTATTTTTTATTTTATTTTTTTGAGACAGAGTCTTGCTGTGTCACCCAGGCTGGAGTACAATGGTGTGCTCTCGGCTGACTGCAACCTCCACCTCTCAGGTTCAAGCAATCATCCTGCCTCAGCCTCCCAAGTAGCTGGGATTACAGGTGCGTGCCACCATGCCCCGCTAATTTTTGTATTGTTAAGTACAGTCGGGGTTTCACCATGTTGGTCAGGCTGATCTTGAACCCCTGACCTAGTGATCCACCCGCCTTGGCCTCTCAAAGTGCTGGGATTACAGGCGTGAGCCACCGTGCCCAGCTAATTTTAGGAATTTTAGAATTATTGGCTGTTTACACTTTTAGAACTATCTGACAGTTGTTATGTTGAGGTAGGTAGAAGAATTAGATTTCAGAATGCCTTATAGTTATAGAAAAAGCCAAACCAACTTACTTTCTGTTGGAAGGTAATGCCCCATAATATTTATATGCATCTTAGGACACCCTGTGTTTTGGACAGTCTTCTCAAGTATGCCTAAAAACATCCTTGGAAGCTAGAGATAATGTTTCCCTACCCAAGGAGGACAGATGTTTCCTGATCACTATAATGTCTTCCTCATGGGGGCTATTTTGCTGGTAGCCCCCTTGTAAGACTAGGGGTTTCCCAAGCTCAGGGCTTCTCAGCTGTGACACAAACATAAATCACTACCATGAAACTCAAGAGGGAAAGGGGAGGCTAGGCACAGTGGCTCACACCTGTAATCCCAGCACTTTGGGAGGATGAAGCAGGTGGATTACTTGAGGTCAGGAGTTCAAGACCAGCCTGGCCAACATGGTGAAACTCCATCTATACTAAAAATACAAAAAAAAAAAAAAAAAAAAAGCCAGATGTGGTGGCACATGCCTGTAATCCTAGCTACTTGGGAGGCTGAGGCAGGAGAATTGCTTGAACCCAGGAGGCAGAGGTTGCAGTGAGCTGAGAGACTGCACCATTGCACTCCAGCCTGGGTGACACAGTGAGACTGCCTCAAAAAAAGGCGGGGGAGGGAGGGGAAACAATCAGAACCTGAAGTGCAAGTGTCTGCTGTGTCACAAGTAACAAACCATTTGAATCTGGGCTTACTGCCCGAATTCATGTGAATGTGGCAAGTTACCCTAGCAGTTCCCTGCCACCAAGGGGGTGCTTTCCTGTGACTTCCTTCAAACAGAATATGCTGAAACTGAACTGAGGATTTTTAAAACAAGTTTTTTGAAGCTCCATGAACAAATCAATGATTTCTTTACATGCTGAATATGAGTTTAAAAAATATTTAGGACTCAAAGATTCTCTCAAATTATTTATGCAATCACTATCCAGATTTAAGAGAAAGTTATTTCAACACCAAAGTGCTTAAAAGTGCTTGGTTAGGGAAGTACCTCTAAAATGCAACGTAGTATTATCTGATCACCACAGCCAGCCTTTAATGCAGGCGTCCCCAAACTTTTTACACAGGGGGCCAGTTCACTGTCCCTCAGACCGTTGGAGGGCCGCCACGTACTGTGCTCCTCTCACTGACCACCAATGAAAGAGGTGCCCCTTCCTGAAGTGCGGCGGGGGGGCCGCATGTGGCCCGCGGGCTGTAGTTTGGGGACGCCTGCTTTAATGTAACAAGTCAGAGAAACACAGTTTATCAAGTCTACCTCTTCCCAGAACATCCCATTCACAATGCTGTGTTCTCCAGGGGTTAGCTGAGTGTTGTGTTTTTATTTTGCCAGGCGAATACAATGGAAGGTTTAAGAGGAATTATAATGATGGATGATATATTCTAAGTAAGGTGGAAAATAAGAGCAGAGATAGATAACAGGTATGTAAGATCAACAGAATAAAGGTTTTGATAAGATCAAGATTTGCTGAAGTGGGGAATTATGGGATGAGATGGTAGAAAATCTACATGACTGGGATATGCTTACTGAAAATCTTCCACCTGGGTAAAGACATGGCTTCAAAAACTGTCATAAATGTTTCTAGAACATGTTTACAATAAGACAGTAGACATCTCATTTAAAGAGATAATTATATAACTTATAATTAGAAAAGGAGGCTGGGTGTATAATCTCAGCACTTGAGAGGTCAAGGTGGGAGCACTGCTTAAGACCAGGAGTTTGAGACCAGCCTGGGCAACATAGCAAGACTGTTTTTCTATAAAAAAATTTTTTTAATTAGCTGGGCATGGTGGTGCATACTTGTAGTCCCAGCTCCTCAGGAGGCTGAGGCAGGAGGATCTATAGAGCCCAGAAGGTGGAGGCTTCAGTGAGCCATGTTCATGCCACTGTAATCCAGTCTGGGCACCAGAGTGAGACTGTGTCTCAAAAAAAAAAAAATAGAAAAAAATAAAGGAGCAACTAATATTCTAAGAAAAGTATACTTTCCTGTAAAAAATATTATATATGTGTGCTAATACTTGGAATACTTATAATATTTATAATAGAGAACACAGAAGGCCTAATTCAAAATTCCCCAGATAAGGTTAAATTCGGTGTTATCCCTGTCCAATCTTAATGTCATTTAGAAACACTCAGATCACCTTGTGCTCAGGGGAAGCATTTACTAAACTACATCCCCAGAGCTTTACCAGAAACAAACATCTCTTTTTGTGACTGGGGATTGAGAATAAGTTTTATACACTTAATTGCTGAGAAAGAACGGACCCTTACCAGCTGAGGGCTAGTAAACCCTCGGTACCAGTACTGGGCTATTATTGACTATAATCCTGAAAAGACATCTCATTCTTGATGACAAGTTAAAATTACCCAACTCTGGAAATGCTGCATCACTGAGAGTTTGATAGAATCTAGACACTAATAACCATATAATATACAAAACTAAACTAATGGATATAAAACTCAATGCTAAATACCTCTCAGGAAACAGAATGTAACTGGGTTCCCGAATGGGAGCTGGGAAATGACAGCACAGAGCAGAGATGCGGGTATATGAATGAGACAGAGACCTTCCTACGTGTGCCCTTCACTCTCCCAACTTTGTCCTATAAGTACCATTGCCACAGCAGCCCCAGCTGGAGGCCGGTTACCAGAACAGCACAAGAGCCTGGAATTCAACAAGCAGAGACCACCAAAGGAGTCACTGACTCACCTCTCCCCTGCCCTAACAGAGAACAACAGAACCAAATGCTGGATTCTTACAAAGAAAACTAAAAATCTGCTTTTTTAAAATAAAAATTTTAATTTAAAAAATCAAATTTCTACACAGAATGATCAAGAAGAAACAAGAGAAGACATAAAACCTATAAAGAATGGAAAACACAGCTATTTAGGTACAGGAGGAGTTTTTAAGACAGGATGTGGAGAAGATGATAGAAGCAGTATAGTTTTTTAATTTCTATTAAACAGAGCAACTAAACTCAAATTGCACGGACATTTCCAACAAAACAAGGTAGCAAGACATCTTCATAAACCCCACAATATCCATGGGTGAGGACAAACCATGAACATCCATAAAGACCTGTGCTTGGCATCTGTGTAGAGGAAAGCAACAGGACATGTGATGGGCCTGAGCAAATGAGACCCCAGTGTGTCCAACAAGTAAGCACTGGAAAGGAGAGTGGGTCGACTTAAGACAGCAGCTGGCTGGGGAGGTTATGCCCCTTCCAGCAGGCGGTCAGTGCACAGTAACTAGAATTGAAAGGTTTGTTTCACTTTAATCACACATAAACAAGAAACAAAACTGTAAATGTTCAAGTACTCAACAATAAATGCAGTTACACAGGCAACAAGTGAAAATCTACATAGTAAGAATTAAAACGTGAAACTTTCAAAATCTGAGGATGTAAAGACAGGTGATATATCTGAATTTCTAGTTTAAGTTAGAAAATGATAAAAATGTCTTATGTGCTTTTATAATTTCTTAGAGCAAATGGAAGAGTGAACCCTTTGAAAAAAAAATCTCATTGCCAATTAGGCATCTATGGTTGATGATTATCTGAATATAATCATAAATATTGACACGATATATAATAGTTCCTTGGCATTTGTCATTTTAAGTTTCTATCATTTTATCTTCTATAGAAATTTCAAACTCCAAGATACATAGCAACGTGCCATGTTCCCAAGGCCTATTTATAAACTGAGGCCAATTAGTAGACAGATGGAAGCTGCGTGGCCAATTAGTAGACTCACTTATGGCATAATACTACATCTAAAAGTGACTCTCCTACTCTTAACCTTTCACACTTTATGCCTTTTGAATGAGACATTAAATCTTACAGTAGTAGTCACAAATTCATAGCAAATGTCTAAAGACACATCCCTCTCAACATCAAGGATCTCTTAAACCTGTACTCTGTCTGGACATTCCTTATACAAATATAGTACTAGATATAAAGAATTATTTCTTAACTAAAGCTGGATGTCTGTTGTACCCTAGGTTTCCATTAACAAAATCCCAGAAAATGCCTATTATCTTTGTTTTAAAGCTCCAAAGTCAAACATATTCAAGGCTGCAGAAATTTCATTTATTGTGTATTTACAAAAGACCCATTGAAAAAAGATTTGATAAACTGCTCAACTCCTTTAAAATAATTTAAATGGCAAACATAACAGATACACAACTTTGGTCTCAAACACTCCAATGTACTTTACTGCCCAATTAATCAGCTTCCTCCATTTGCTGAATGTTAAACTCAGATTTATTCACATTGACATAGGAGCTGTTTTAAACAGTCGTATCACAAAGGCAAATGCAGGTAAAAGAGATATGCATTAAAAAAGTAAAATTACACCAGGCGCAGTGGCTCACGCCTATAATCCCAGCATTTTGGGAGGCCAAGGCGGGTGGATCACGAGGTCAAGAGATCAAGACCATCCTGGTCAACATGGTTCTGAAACCCCATCTCTACTAAAACAACAAAAAATTAGCTGGGCATGGTGGTGCGTGCCTGTAATCCCAGCTACTCAGGAGGCTGAGGCAGGAGAATTGCCTGAACCCAGGAGGCAGAGGTTGCAGTGAGCCGAGATCATGCCATTGCACTCCAGCCTGGGTAACAAGGGCGAAACTCCGTCTCAAAAAAAAAAAAAAAAAAGTAAAATTAATTAGCATATATACTCATTGGTTTGCTTCAACACATTTATTTCTAGGCCAAATTTAATTATCTATTAGTGTAATTTACTATGTTGAGAGTCTATTTTTCTTAAAATGCAGGACTAAAGAAATTCATTGCAGCTTACAATAGCATTTATAGAAGATTAAAGTTAGCCACTCAATACTTTATAATGAAGGCTGCAAAAACCTTAAATTAGAATGATATAAATAATAAATGTTATAGTCTATTTTTACTACTTTATTCTAAGTCTAATTTGTTGAGTTTGCTAGATCTCCAAATCTTTTTTTTTTTTTTTTTTTTTTTTTTTGAGACAAGAGTTTTACTCTTGTTGCCCAGTCTGGAGTGCAGTGGCACAGTCTTGGCTCACTGCAACCTCCGCCTCCCAGGTTCAAGCAACTATCATGCCTCAGCCTCCCGATTAGCTGGGGTTACAAGCATGTGCCACTTTGCCCGACTAATTCGTATTGTCAGTAGAGACAGGGTTTCTCCATGTTGGTCAGGTTGGTCTCCAACTCCCGATCTAAGGTGATCCACCCTCCTCGGCCTCCCAAAATGCTGGGATTACAGTCGTGAGCCACCACGCCCGGCCTGATCGCCAAATCCTAACCACAGGCATCAGAGTCCTTATTTACTAGAGAATGTGAAACATTTTTATCTCTATTCTTAATAATGGATTTTCAAATTCACCTATTAGATCATCACAGAACTTGTTTAAATTATATTTCAATTTTGGCTTGGGACTTACACTTCCAAAACCCATTTCACTGAACTTAAGGTAAAATGAATACTACTGCTAAACCTGAGATTCATCCTTCAAAAAACAATTTCAGATAACTAATTGAATCCTATAAGAATGTCTTATTCTTGGCCAGGGGCAGTGGCTCATGCCTGTAATCCCAGCACTTTGGGAGGCCAAGGGGGGAAGAGTCACTTGGGGTCAGGAGTTGAAACCAGCCTGGACAAAGTAGTGAGACCTCAGCTCTAAAAATCATTTAAAAAATTAGCTGGGCATGGTAGCACATGCCTGTGGTTCTAGCTACTAATGTGGCTAAAGCAGGAGGATTGCTTAAACCTAGGAGGTTGAAGCTGCAGTGAGGCATGATCATGCCAGAGCACTCCAGTCTGGGTGACAGAGGGAGACCCTGTCTCAAACAAACAAACAAACAACTAGAATGCCTTATTCTTTACCTAGTTATAAAAACAGAATTTTATTTCTATTAACTGCTTTTATATGCTTTGCTTATGTTTTCAAACATCCTTTGTTGAATCTGAAATTATTTCATATTGTCAGGTACTTCTGCTTGATAAGGTATCCTTAAGATTCATTGTGAGAGATTAATAAGAAATTAATTAAGATGCTAAATTCACAAGATTTTTTTTTTTTTAAAAAAGCTCTGGCCAAGCGCAGTGGCTCACGCCTGTATTCCAGCACTCTGGGAGGCCAAGGTGGGTGGATCACAAGGTCAGGAGTTTGAGACCAGCCTGGTCAATATGGTGAAACCCCATGCTACTAAAATTACAAAAAAATTGGCTGAGCATGGTGGTACATGCCTGTAGTCCTACCTACTGAGGAGGCTGAGGCAGAAGAATTGCTTGAACCTGCAAGGTGGAAGTTTCAGTGAGCCAGGATCACAGCACTGCACTCCAGCCTGGGGGACAGAGAGATACTCCATCTGAAAAAAAAAAAAAAAAAGCTCCTACTCTTACCTACTCTCAAAAGAAAAGAGGAACTTAGAAAGGAAATATTTTATTAGAGAGAGATTCTGGGCACAGCAGCTCATGCCCGTAATCCCAACACTTTGGGAGGCCAAGGCTGGAGGACTGCTTGAACCTAGGAATATCAGACCAGCTCAGGCAATAGGGAGATCTCATCTCTACAGAAATTTTTTTTAAATTAGCTGGGCGTGGTGGCATGTGCCTGTGGTTCCAGTTACTTGGGAGGCTGAGACAGGAAGATCACTTGAGCCTAGGAGGTCAAGGCTCTAGTGAGCCATGATTGCGCCACTGCACTCCAGCCTGGGCAACAGAATGAGACCCTATCCCTTCCTCCTCCCCACAAAAAAAGAGATAGAAAAGCGACTGTACTCAAGTATAGCCTGAGTGTAGTACAAAACCATTTAACTATGTATTTTCACAAAACCATGCTGTTAACTCCTTAAAAGGCCATAGGTTTCCAAGATATTTAAATAAGCTCACATACTATGTTTACTATGTAAGGAAAGTATAATGCTATACTTTAAAATGGTTTAAGAAACATTTTTAGTTATTTTACCCTTCATTAATAATAAATCTCAACATGAATATCTTATTTTCTGAGCTTTCTGGTTAACAATTTGACTATAGCATATTGGTAATGTCTGGCAATTATGTTTATTAGGACATGCTATCAAAACTTGTTTTTGGTAAGTATCTAGTACCCAGAATACATCAACAACTCTTAAAAGTCAACAATAAAGACAACCCAGTTTAAAAATGGGCAATGGACCTAAACAGACATTTCTCCATATAAATGGCCAATAAGCACTTCAAAGATGCTGCATGTCATTAGGTAAATTAAAATGAAGACCATAATGAAACTCCATGTCACAACTGCTAGGTTGTCACAATTACTAGGATAACCACAATCAATAAGACGGGTCATTAGTGTAGTGTCAGAACATTAAGAAGAAACCATTAATGCAACAAAAACCAACTGGAGAGTAATTTGGTAAAAGTTGTTTTTAAGATTGCCTATGTTAAACTAAGCTTACCAATTTTCAAATCATCAGCCAGACTTTCTTTTGTAAGATTCAACAGTTCTTTTCCATCAATGTTATTCATCTTGAAAATACCAACAAGGTCTTTTAGATCTTGTGCACAAAGCCATGTTGAGACATCCTCCTCTGACCAATCTTCAGTAAATTGCTTCAGGTGATCTTCTGTGCTCCTTGCTTAAAATAAACAAACAGGTAACTGAGATAACAAACAAAAAAGCACTTTCTTTTAAACATTCTCACTTTGAATTAAAAGTAAATGAAATTTCCTTAAATCTGCGTTTTTTTTGCTGGGTACAATGGCTGGTGGCTATAACCCTAATTACTTGAGAGGCTGACGTAGGAGGATCACTTGAAGTCAGGCGTTCAAGACTAGCCTGAGTAACATAGGGAGACCTTGTCACCAAAAAAAAAAAAAAAACAAAACAAAAACCCACCTGTTTTACCACTTTAACTTCCTTCCTTTTGGAACATTTTTTCACATCAGGAAAACAATTTTGTATTATATAAAATTCATAGTAGCAAAGGTATTCTATTCGCTCCATCATCTGCATATCAGCACCACAATTTGGTTCATTAAGTGATAAAAATAAAATTCCTAAATTATGTGCCAGTGTTGCTTGATGCCAAAAATAAAACTAACACAATACAATGATAATTTCTATTTTGTCCTGAGGCTGTATTTACCTGAAAAATTAGTACAAATAGCTTACAAACCATGGGAGGTGTGGGACATGTGAATGTGCACCAAAAGCATTTACCAACAGCTTTAACACATGCCAGCCACTTCAACACTGGCTTTCTAAAATAATTATTTTAGAGATGGGATCTCACTTTCTTGCCTGGACAAAGTACAGTGGCATGTTCTCAGCTCACTGCAGCCTCAGACTTACTGGGCTCAAGTGATCCTTCCCACCTCAGCATCCCAAGTAGCTGGGGCCACAAGTGCACACCCCCATGTGTGGCTAATTTTGGTATTTTTTTGTAGAGATGGGGTTTTGCCATGTTGCCCAAGCTAATACCGTGTTGCTCCTGGGCTCATACAATCTACCTGTCTCGGTCTCCCAAAGTGCTGGGATTATACGTGTCAGCCAACATCCCAGGCTAAATTATTTTTAAGTGACATTAAATTTGGATGTATACTTTACATTGAGAAAAGCAATGCAAATAACCTGTCAAATGATTTACTAACTTTTTTTTTTTTTTTTGAGACAGAGTTTCACTCTTGTTGTGTGGGCAGGAATGCAATGGCACAATCTTGGGTCACTGCAACCTCCACCTCCCAGGTTCAAGCAATTTTCCTGCCTCCGCCTCCTGAGTAGCTGAGATTACAATCATGCGCCACCATGTTGGGCTAGTTTTTTGTATTTGTAGTAGAGACGGGTTTCGTCATGTTGGCCAGGCTGGCCTCAAACTCCTGACCTCAAGTGATCTGCCCACCTTGGCCTCCCAAAATGCAGGGATTACGGGCATGAGCCACCATGCCTGGCCCGATTTACTTACTTTCTGACTTAAATGGTGAGTGGGGTTGAAATGAGTTTAAAATGATGTCTTTACTAACCTTGGCAAAGTGTTTCCAGGTCAAACTGCCAGATGTTCACTGTTTTGTCCATTGAACCAGTAGCAAGTAAAAGGGTATGAGGTGCAAAAGCACAAGTTGTGACATACCTAGTTAATACAAACAGCCATTATGTATCTTCTGACTAATTTTTAAATTACATTAATACAAAGTGAGGTTAAGTTCAGACCTGGTGTGCTGAGTCAATGTGTGAAGTATATTCTCAGTATTCTGAAAAACAACAAAAACAGCTTTACATTTACTCAGGTAAGAGTAAAGTTACTGAAAAAGACTCATTTGACATAAATTGTTTGTATATTAAGTGGATATGTTAATATTTATTAGTAACTAACGTAAGTTGAAACTTTACTCAATGAATAGTAGAAATGGCATCTGTAACTAACAGCATTCTCAGGTATTTATTTCACTTTTTCTCAGTTATTGGCATTATTGTCTGCTAGCCACCTCCTTAGAAATTTTTAGTACAGTAGACCCTTAGCATTTGCTCATCTGTTTGAACCTACTAATAGTAACCTAAACATCTATTACATGAAATAATTTGTATTTTTTGCTATGACCTTTGATTTGTACACATTGCAGGACCAATGGGTAGAAATTAGTCCTTTGACTGAACCCAGTGGCTCACACCTATAATCCCAGCATGTCGGGAAGCCGAGGTGGGTGGACTGCATGAGCCCAGGAGTCTGAGATTAGCTTGGGCAACATGGTGAAACCCCATCTCTACAAAAAACACGAAATACTAGCTGGGCGTGGTGGCATGTGCCCGATATCCCAGCTACTTAGGAGGCTGAGGCAGGAGAATTGCTTGAGCCAGGGAGGTGGAGGTTGCAGTAAGCTGAGATCACGCCACTGCACTCCAGCCTAGGGAACAGAGCAAGAGTCTGTCTCAAAAATAAAAAAAGAAAAAAAGAAATCCCTTAGACTTTGAGTACACTAAGGTGGCCATCCGACATTTTAGGTGTATTTAAGTGGAGCTCACACACATATTTTACAGAGAAAATTTAGTGGGTTTTTTTGAGAATGAAAAATCTCAAGGAAAGGTCATGAGAAGTATTAAAGATCTACCTCACCTAGCTTGAGTATTCTTTCCCATTTCCTGCCAGAATACTCAGTGACTTGAACCTCTATGTGGAGGACTAGCTTAGATCACTTGCTTAACTTGCTACCCTTTGATTACTTATACAGGCATTGATCGACTTACGACCTATGCAACTTACGACCGTTCGACTTTACGACCACTATCGCTAGCCACAACTGCTCCACGCCTGGCAGCAAAAACGTTGCCCAGCTGGGCATATGACAGTGCAGACCAGCTTCTGGCAGCACTACCATCTTCGTGTGCACCATTTCAACTGTACATATAGCCTACTCAACTTACAACCAAATCGGGTTACGACCGTTTCACGGGCCTGACCGTGGTCGTAAGTCGAGCACTGCCTGTATCTCCATTTATTTGCTGGCATAGCTACAGCCTAAATTCAATCATTAGGACACCCCACTCAACACTGATTTCTCTTGGATAATATTTTTTTCAACTACTTTATTTATTTTTGATACAGGGTCTCACTCTTGCCCAGACTGGAGTACAGTGGTGCGATCTCAGCTCACTGCAACCTCCACCTCCAGTATTCAAGCCGTCCTCCCAACTCAGCCTCCCAAGTAGCTGGGACTACAGGGACATACCACCATGGTTGGCTAAGTTTTTGTATTTTTGGTAGAGACGGGGTTTCATCATGTTGGCCAGGCTGGTCTTGAACTCCTGGACTCAAGCCATCTGCCTGCCTCAGCCTCTGAGTGCAGGTGTGAGCCACTGCACTCGGCCACAACTTGGTTTTTATCCACACATGATGAGTCAAAAACTCACATTATCTTGGCTGGGTGCAGTAGCTCATGCCTGTAACCTCAACAATTTGGGAAGCCGAGGCAGGGGTATCATGAGGTCAGGAGTTCGAGACCAGCCTGGCCAACATGGTGAAACCCCATTTCTACTAAAAATACAAAAATTAGCTGGATGTGGTGGCACGTGACTGTAAACCCAGCTACTTGGGAGGCTGAGAACTGCCTGAACTCAGGAGGCAGAGGTTGCAGTGAGCCGAGATCTCACTACTGCACTCCAGCCTGGCAACTGAGCGAGACTCCGTCTCAACAAACAAACAAACAAACTCCCATTTTCCAAGTCCATGATAACCTATTCTTTCTTATGCTACTCTCTAAATACAGCCAGGACTCTAAGAATGGTAGGTCACTTTTAACCATATTTGCCAAAAGCCCTAGGATAAACATTTCATCCTTTCCTATTATGAAAGCCTGGTATAAAAGTTTAATAATTGATTGTATATGATGTTTTGAATACCGGTGCTCTTTAAATATGTACTTTTGTGATCACATTTAAAATCTATCCATCTTAAAATCATTACTGAATATTTAAGGGCTTCTTGCAGAACCAGTATCTTACTTGCATAACTATTTCAGCATTTGTGAAAATGTATATGTTCTTAGTCATACTAAACAGAAAAAAACAAATACTTTTTCTATGATGCCTAGCTTGAAGTTCAGTAGCTTAATAAACATAACTTTCATAGATCACCACAAGATCTTTAAATACTTACAGTATCATATACTATAACCGACTTATCCACTGATCTTTAAAAGAAAAGAAATTACAGGTGAAAAGTTCTATAAAAACAAAGTATAACATTTATGTAATTAGTATTTTTAAAAATAATTTTAGCAACTTTTTTAGAAAAGACAGATATTCAAATACATTTAGAATGCAATCTTTTTGTTCATATGTATGAAAACGTTAATTCAAAAAACTACATGTGGCCGGGCATGGTGGCTCATGCCTATAATCCCAGCACTTTGGGAGGCTGAGGTGGGCGGATCACCTGAGGTCAGGATTTTTCAGACCAGCCTGGCCAACATGAAGAAACCCATCTCTACTAAGAATACAGAAAAAAAATTATCTGGGCATGATGGCATGTACCTGTAATCCCAGCTCCTCAGGAAGCTGAGGTGGTGGAGGCTGCAATGAGCCAAGATCACACCATTGCTCTCCAGCCTGGGTGGCAGAGTAAGACTCCGTCTCAAACAAAACAAAACAAAACAAAAAAACTACATGCCATATATAAAATTTAGAAAATTATAAGCTTTATTAAAACAATAGTATATACTACTTACACTATATGACTATGAACAGAACAAGCATCTCTGATATATAACACAACTCTAAAACAAGTTAGTAACTGAATGGAAAAACCACAAGGAAAAGCTATCGTTTGTTTGCTACTTAGTTTTGCTTCAGATAGAACTTTTTTTTTTTTTTTTGAGACAGAGTCTCGCTCTGTTGTCAGACTGGAGTGCAGTGGCGTGATCTCGGCTCACTGCAACTTCCACTTTCCAGGTTCAAGCAATTCTCCTGCCTCAGGCTCCCGAGTAGCTGGGACCACAGGTGTGCACCACCAGTCCCAGCTAATTTTTGTATATATATTTTTTAGTAGAGACGGTGTTTCACCATGGTCTCAATCTCCTGACCTCGTGATCCACCCACCTCAGCCTCCCAAAGTGCTGAGATTACAGGCTTAAGCCACCGCACCTGGCCTATTCTTTACCACTGATACGGTATGCCTTAATTGCTAATCAATGTATATATGTTTTGATTATAATCTATTTTTGAAAATTATAAACTTGATGTTGACATGATTCCTTTTAATGGTATAAAAATTAAAAGCAGAGATCTGGGGTTATTCTAGCAAAGAAAAAGAATATCACACACACACAAATACATTATGAAGTACTTAATTTAAAACAACGGATATATATGCCTCTATCTGACATTTCCATTGGAAATGGGCTTTATACCAGAACAATATACACTGCAAGGTGAGAAAACACATCAACAATACAAATGGTACCAAACTCTGCAGAATATTAATATTTGTACTTATTATTAAGGGAGCTGGTCATAGTCTGACCACAGGATTCACACCTATCAGAAAGCTTAAAATTCCTTGTTCAGTAGACCCTCCAATGGTGATGATGGATACTGACTACAGAATCTTTGTCATAAGTTGAAAATAGAAATTATACTTTAAAAGTTCAAATATATAAAATAAAACATAAGAACTTGGGAAGCATATACTATTAGCCCTCCATATCCACAGGTTTCCCATCTGTAAATTCAACTACCTATGAATCAAAATATTCAAGAAAAATAAATAAAAATATTCAAGAAAAAAATAACTAAAAATAATACAAATAAAAATGCTGTAAAACTATTTACATATCATTTAAGTTGTATTAGGTATTATAAGTAATCTAGAGATGATTTAAAGTATATGGATGATATGTATAGGTTACATGCAAATATTATACATGCAAATTTTATGTAAGGGATTTAAGCATCTACAGGTTTTGGTATCCAAGGTAGGTGTCCCGGACCCAATCCCCTGCAGATACCAAGGGACAACTGAAATTCATTCCAGATACCAAAAAGAATTAGAGCTTTCAATGTTAAACTGCATCCAAAATACAGCGAGAAATAGTACTGATAGCTAACATTACCTAAGTATGTATATGATGGACAGAAACTTTAGTTCTAAGCTCTTCAAGGTATAAGTTATAATTGTGGAATATCTGAAATTCTTAGGTCAAATTCCACTATTTTGAGCATCCTTAAAACATACACACACAAAGACACATGTACAACTAAAGAGTGGTGTCAGCAAGATGGCAGGGCATAAATTCCCATGCTTGTTGCATCACAGGAACATCAATTTGAAAAAGTATCCACACACAGAAAAATATTTTCATAATAGCTAAGGAAGCCAGGTCTCCAGCTACAGCACCACAGCTGGGAGTCAGGAGCACATAAATATTACTTTTTAAGATATGATAAGACAAAAGAAAAACTGGTCAAATGAAACTCATATCTATCTATCTATCTATCTATCTATCTATCTATCTATCTATCTATCTATCTATAAATGAACTGGTCACTGGGTGAACTGGCTTTTGGTTAACTGACCTAGAGCACAGTTCTGCTTAAGCCTGACTTTTCTAAAGAGATAATTAACCAAAATTTCATTTGGAGCTGGCTAGAGCCCAGCCGTGCTAAGCTTACAAAGAAAGTAGTTCTATCATCTGGTCCCCATTACAATTAATAAAATCCTCAAATAAAGTAATTTAATTCTCAAATAAAATCCTCATTGGTACCAAAAAAAACAAAAACAAAACCCCAAAATTAAAAGGAAATCTCACTTTCCTAGACTACCACCAGAGGCAGTTCAAATCATCTCATCACTTGATAAACAGGATTATCATTAGTGATCTCTATGAGCACTGGATTGGGAAGACAGAAGTCAGTGCAATAAGCAAGAGTCTACATATGGGAACAGCAAGGAGTAAGGCTGAAAACACAGCCTAGAACAAAAATACAAAGCACCCTGAGTGCCCACCCAAGGAATCCAGAGGACTTCTCAGGCCACAGCTAGCCATGAGGGCAATGGAATAGGTTCACTTGCTGATGACGTATAGAAAGGTATTTGAGAAGTAAAAGGCCAAACATCCATAAACCAGTAGGAGACCACTGAATCCATGCCAAAAGAAAGAAAGAAAGAAAGAAAATTATAAACACATGAACAGACCTGCAGTTTCATGGAGAAAGAAAGGATTTTAAACTCACTTCCTATTGCCTCTAGTTTAACTAACGATGATTCCAAGGAAGACACAATAGCATTTGATAGTTCATTAGATTTTGAGGAAGGTAAATTAGCGTTAGAGATAAATAATAGAAGTTTTCAATATTTTGAGATTTGAATTTGAGATATCAGGAGAATAATAGCCAACTTAAATAGACACAAAATACTTTGAAACTACTGAAGCAAAAAAGAAACCTTCAAAATATTCCCTAAATTGAAGCTGAATCAACACTAAACAAAAAATCCAACTGTTTAGTGTCCCTGGTTATATATTTTCTGCCTGCTATAGCTCTTCCCCCAAATTTTTAGTACATAACATTCCGTCACAATCTGCCCTGTCGCCTTTCCCCCAGAGTTTCCTCATGAGGCAGGTATTCGACCTTTTGATACTTCATTCCTACAATTTTGTGGTGCTCTAAAACCTCAGTTCTGCTCACTCAAGAACACAAGAAAACCCCATCAATGATATCTAGACAGCTACTGGACATCACATCAACACCACCACACAGACTCCTGGAGATCCGAGACATCACAGTGACCCATCTCAGAACTCAAATCTTTATATTCTTAACTTTGTACAATGGCCAAAAAATTAATCAAATACAATCACTAGCAATTATTTCCTGAGGCCAAGAAGGTCCCTAACACTTAAAGATTTTACACTTCAGTATTTTAAGTTTAAATGTATTTATGTTTCCTCTCATTTAGAAAGGATTTGCCATCTCTTACAAAGATGTAGCAAAAGCAAAAGTTATGTGAAGAACCTGAAGGGGAAGAGAACGCAAGGATGAGGTGAGAGGAGAGAAATTAAGGTAAAGATCAATATAGATTAATATCCAAAACACATGTCGTAAGGTCCAGTCCACCTCGCCAAAGAAGGGTTGCAAGTTTGATTCTGAGCTTTTTCAGTAACAATGCAAAAAGAAAATATGATCAGTCATGCAATGCAAAACAGAAACACAAACGCGATGCTTGGGAATAAAAGGACATCAGGCCCTCAGACTGAGACCTGACAGGACTCCTTTCCCCAAGGTCTGCAGAGGAGGATGCCAAGAAGCATCAACTGAGTCCTCAACAACTCTCCCTGCATGAAGATAAGTTTCAAACAGCTGCTCTGTAATGCTGCTTATTATAAGCCAATGGCTAATAGCTCAAATCAGAAAAAAGGGGGGGGGGTGTAAAGTGATACGTTATACAATTGGTGTTCTAGATTACATCAATTATATTATTTCATATACCATTTAAAAATATATATTGAGCAATGTCCCAAACATAATAAATGCTTTATCTGCATTTTCTTAATCTTCATAACAATTTGAGGAAAGTGCTATTATATTCTCCATTTTATAATCAGAGCATGAAGCTCGGAGAAGGCATGGAACTAGAATTTGTTCAAGGTTGCACAGCTAGTTAAGTGGCAAGGCTGGGATTAAAACCCAGTTCTATGTAAATTCTAAAACCCATGTTTTTTAATATTATACCTAAATATCTTCCCCCATGAATGTATCCAAATGGATTCATCACAGGCACATACTCTGGTGATTTCAGTCTAAAAGCTGGAAAAGTGACAGCGTGGCTATTCAAATTTCACTAAAGCTCTCAGAACACATCTAATTTCAAGCAATATGGCATCTGATAACCCTCCATGATAAACAAATTGCAATGTGTCCTTTTCAGTTACTAAATGAACTTACTTGTTCAACAGGACTGTTAGCAATATTGTAGAGAAAAAACATGCCTTGCATTTTGGGAAAGGTGACCTTAAGGCTTCTTCAGCTAGTCATCGTTGAGCAGGAGAGGGCTGTTCATGAAAGCACTCCTGACTCATGACATTAAACTCTATCATCTACTTACAAAATCGATAAAATATAAACAACTGTCTTGTTGGGGAGAGGAAAAACTTATTTCCCACCCCTTCTGAGGTAAGATTCTTGGCCTCTTTCC